CGCCTCGAAGGTTTACTTAAAAACAAAGACATTTTTATTGATGGAGCAGCTAGTTTGATTTTCCACGTGTACAAGGAAGTCACGGCTTTAGGATCGATCACGGTTTCACCCACCAGACCCATCGCCGGTCCACTTTCCAATACCGTGAAAACGACCTATACCCGCGCCGCCGAGAGAGTCGGCCGATGTCTCTCGACGCTCGCGTGTTGATGCAGAATTTTGCAACGAGGGAGGTGGAGTTTTGGTTGCCAGGATTGAGCGTGGGCAGGTATACGTGGAAGAGAAATATCGGTATCAAGGAAATTCCGGTATCGGGGGAGCTGTGTCCGAGGCGATGAATCACTTGGTAATTTTGTGCGGGCATCGCTATTGTCAAAATTATGCATCGTGATAGTTTGTGGTGTTTGAAATTTCATCACACTCGGTTTTGATTACATGAGCGGTCTGTGTGTAGACCTTGAATCGGGTCTGTGAGGAAGATGCCCCTTCTCGAATAAGTAGGAGTGACTTGGAGTGATATGGATACTTGCTGTGGATGCTCATTGATTTGATATTTTGTGGTCTTGACTCCATCGTGATCATCAGAACACTGCTTGTGAGTTTGGAGTTGTGGGTTGAGTTGGTTTGTGATGCGTAAGAATATTTTCGTTGAGCTGACGATTTTCGTAGTAAACTACAATCCAGCGTGTCTTGAACCTAGAGATATCTTTCATAATCGATGGTATGTACTCACTTGTGCTTTTGCTGTATGTTATTCTGTGAGGCATTCTGCAAAGAAATCGGATGCAGGAGCAAAAGCTGAACTGAAGCTAGGTCCGGAGTAGGAGGTGGAAAGGGCCAAGATGGATCTGCCAGAGGCACTGGCGGTCACCATTCCTGTGCTCAGATTGTGCCAATTTCATAAGCCGCTGTAGATTGGCGATGTTATATTTTTCGCTGGACAATTGGTGCGATATCAAGTCTCCTATCACATCACAATACTAGTTGGACAAAAGTGGTATGTGGTCTTTGCCGGAATGTTCACTCCAAGGCAAGGCTGTTAGGTTCACTGATAATGTCGTAAATTGCGACAGTTCTTTTGTGCAAGGATGTCGGAAGTACGAGCATAACTTTCAGGATTAGAATGAATAAGATCTCTCTACATTCCATCTCGTGGGGTTCTTGAATTGCGTAGCCAAGAGAATGATTGATATCTTTTGATTAATACTGTTGTCAAGGTCCTCTTTCAGACGAGGATGTTATTAAAGATGTGTGTGAAGGTGAAAGTCTTGTAGAAACAGGTGATTTCTGTGTCGCCTCTGCACGAAGCATGATTCTCCTACTTGACAAGGAACATTGTTGTTTGGTTCAGTACTATAGGTTTGGGAAATTTATCATTCTTTTTTACCACATCACTTGTGCAGTATCAGAAGAGGTTTTACCAGTTTGGAGTTCTCGCAATTTGTTTGTCCGTGTTTGTGCATCACTCAAAATCTTGGAATGTCACATCGCATCTGTGACAATTTGTGTGGAAAAGGATCCACTTCAGGCAAGGGTAGGAGAGGTTGAGATAACTGCAGACAAGGAATTCTCGATGCCTTGCCAGCAGGCACAGAACAACAGTGTAGCATATGCTTGTGTACATCGGGAATGCCAACATTTGTGGGTACTACGCATGCAGATATGGACGTTAGCTTCCTTAACTAAAATTTTGACAATTTTTTTCACATTGCTGATTGGAATTTTCTTTCACATAGTTTGACGTTTCAATGAAGCATGGACGAACAATTTTTGCCACCAAGCTCTAAGCTTCGACTTGAAAATGTCAGGAGGTATTTAGGATGGAGACGATCTTGTTGTTGATCCAGGATTTACGTGATTTTTCATTTGTAGTCTTTATTAATCCGTTTCAACTTTGTGTTTTGTGAACTCTTTATGCAAGTCGCCTGTCTTGCAGTTTTACCGTAGCAGTACCTGTTGTAATTGATGCTAATATTGACGAGACGTAATGCTTCTTTTTCAATTTGGAGTAACGTAATATTCTAAGTGGGCATTGCTTCTGGAATAGGTTCTTGGGATATCTTATCTGCTGCCAAACTCCAACCCACAGCAATCACATCAAACCTTTCCTAAATCGAACATGACCCGATTGGTATGAGCGCCTCAACAATCACAGCTTCGCTACAACGATAAACTGGAGCCCACAAACACGAAGCTGCAAATACTAGCACTGCAAATATTCATATGTCTTCTCACATTCTTCGTCGAAGGTAAACGCACAGATAAGTCCCGGCATAAGTTGCCTGAATTAAGATCCCTTGATACACTAAGCTACATCTGAAACCCTTGGAATCATCTTGTTACACTCTGTGAAGCACTCGTCGAGATTTAGCAACTGCGATATTCCGCTATATCCAACATATAATCACATTCTACCAACGTAATGTAATACGAGTTGATCACTGTTTATGTGTTATACTCCAGAAGTTGTGGATCAGATACACATGGTCAAGCTTCAGCTTCATGCACAACACGTAGTGAACTCTGTCTTGCTTTTGTGTTATACTCCAATCCATTTTTTTTTTTTTTTTTTTTTTTTTTAAGAAGCCTAGCTGTGAGGCATACTTACAAATGTATGGTGTGGGAGTACACAAATCTTGTGCAGTTATTCCTTCTACACAGGTGCCACACTATCACCCTTATTTATTGCAAAAGTAATTGAAACTATACATCCATGGAGTTGAGGTGTTGGAATCTTTCTATTTTCGGAAGCGTGAACATGTAAATGGGTTGCAACCATGACATCTGTAGCAATACATGTACAAGTATCAGCTTCAATTATCTACACGGTAGTTAACCAAGTGAGATCAACCAAACGGAATCAACGTTTTCATGCCATTCATAGGATGCACAGTTGATTTCTTCACTGAACAATCGGTCAAGGAGGCTGCAGCTGTGATGAGGTAGTGGCAGTGAAGCTGCAGCGAGAGACTCACTCTCTTTTAACTCTGATAACTTGCACCATCAGCCTGTTCTGGATGTGCTGCTTTGCTGTTGCACAACTGGTACAGAACCCAGTAATATATATATATATATATATATATATATCTTGTTTGTTCACCATGAGGACAATCTGTCTGCGACAACGAAGAAAGGGACAACGGCATGCTTCCAAAGGAGTCTGAGAAGGGTGGAAAATAATTGTGAGAATGGACATGATCAATCCTCTGACGCTGCAGGTGAGAAGAATCCATATCAATCAAGCTACCTTGAAGGTGACAAGCTGTATTTGGAGGTGAACGTCACCTGTGTCCTCAGAATTGTCAAGAGGCTCTTAACCCAAGTCAGGCTTCAAGCTCCATCTCCACCTCAAATTGCATCATGGATAAGCCTTAAAACATTGATTGCTGCTGTTGTTGTTGTTGTTGCTGCTGCTAGCAATTTGTTTTGTTGTGGAATGAATGGACAGAGACCAGTGATAAGCTACTGGGTTTAATGTAGATGTGATGGGATTGTCGTCCAGCAGGAATTGCCACATATGCGCCAACTCAGCATTGTATTTTACCTTTTTAAAAAATAGTAATCAATTTTGATGCTTTGAATGTATTCTATCAACATGATATGTGAATTTTTTCAAATGCAGAAAAGAATTACAACTGCAAAAAAACTCTACAACTCATTGCAGGCACGTACACATCTTTATATGTCCTTAAATGTAAAATACCCGTGCACACTTAAAACTTGCAAGGAATTAAAATGTAGCATATTATCATTTTAATAAAGTTCAAAAAAATATCATATAGTTCTAAAGTTGTGAAGTTTCAATGTGCTCCCTTTGGAAGTTAAAATAAATTAGTGTCTGAAAGTTAGTGTAGAGCCTTTAAATATGATTTTTAATAATTGCAATTTTAAAAGCAAGTTTATAAAACTTTCACTTTTTTGATCAAATATATATTAGTTAAAAAAAAAGCTTCAATTTGATTTTCAGGTAATAAAATATAAGCTCACATGCATACATATTACAAAAATGTAAACATAAGTTTCTTTTTACACATGAATTCAAATGCTTACAATTATTAACCCAAGCATGTGATGCACATGAATATGGATTCAAAATTGCAATGAAGACATGTGTAAATAACAGTAATGTGTGCATGAGTTTCAACTAAGACATAAAAAACTAAGCTTGTCCTAGGTCTCATATAACATCTTGAAAATAAATGATATTTTTGAATCATGTTTCATTAGTCAACTTGTTTCGATTTCTTAAAGGATATCATTTTCAACCATGGTGTCCTCAACTAAAAATATCCATTTCTACATCACAAAGACATTAAATCACCTTTTCCAAATAAAAACTCTTGATTAGTGTTGCTCACAAGGTTTTTTTTCTTTTTTCTTTTTACTATGTCTTTATGCTTTTTTCAAAATGAAAAAGAAAATAAAATTACAATCTTCTCTTTGCCAACTTCTCCAAGAAATAGCTTTCATTGAAAAGGCTTTGATTCCCATAATTGTATCCAACCCATGCCACAAACTTTAGCTTTGATCACGGGTTCCAAAATATTCGGTGAACTACCCTATGACCACCCGAAATCACGGTCGGAGGGGGGAGACCATGGTCATAGGATCCCGTTCCAGTTCTGGAAATCGTATAGAGAAAGGCGTGGGACCAGCTTCACGCGTGAACCTGAAGAGAACGCCGTACTGAACGTGTCGGGGCGCCAGGGGAACGGACAAGGATCGGAGAACGAACGATACGTCGCGTTCGGTGGACGAAAACCACCCAGCGAACTCGGCTTTTCGTCGTGAGGCTCAACGAGGGGTCACTCCAAAATGTAGCTTCGACGAGGAAGGCGAAGAATGGGCGACGAACTACTCTCTGTGGAGGGTTCCGTCATCAGACATCCCACCGGAGGGGACGAAGATGATGAACGATTCGTTGGGTAGTATTGGACGAGGGAGATGGACGATTCGTTGGGGAGGAGGATGAGGAATGGGAACTGTGGAGCCTCTGCCCCGAGCATGGAGCTGCGGAAGAAGTCGCACAATCGGCTGCTTCGTTCCACACTTTTCCGCCCGAAATCGCTTCTCCACGATTGCGCAGACAGTTCTTGCATCGATCCTCCCGTCTTCGTTCGCCTCCCGCGATTTGTTACGACCTTTGAGACGCCGAAATCGGTGTAGAACTGGGTTCTGGAGGGGGGGGGAGGGGGGGTTGGTCTGACACGCCGCGCGCCCTTGATTCCCGCCACTGTTCATCGCTTTGAGAGCATTAGTGGAGGGGTTTTCGATGACGTTGGCTGCACTGGATTGAGGCTCTTAGTCCCAAAGGGCTTGTGCAGATTGGGTTTGTTTAGGTTTGTTTAGGTTTGTTCGGGCTCTCGGTCTCTGCGGAATTCACGAAGGGGGAATTTGTGTTTTGAAAAGTGCGAGTTGAAAGAAACAGCGTCTCGGAGCGATTGTTGGGGTTGGTTCGGCTTCTGCTTGCGCTCATTTTTTTTCTCCTCGCTCCCTCGCTCATCATTCATCTGAAACTGCTGATAATGAGGTGAAGCTTGAGCTCGGGTGACGTTCTATTTGAGGTTTTTTTTAGGGTGGCCCTTAACCCTCTGGCGTTACTGGATCATCCTGTTGATATTGGGCCCATTTCGCGAGATAAAACCCTACCCTAACGCTGCTGGGTTACTTGTTTCGGGACGGATTCATGAGAATAAGGTGAAATTATGAGCAGGTGTAGGTGGTTTCTGGACTACTGGATTTTGTGAAAGCTTCTGCCTCTGATTAGCAGACATTCTGGTCTTAAGAATTGAGTTTGCAAGTGCGCATTAGTACGGTCCGTGGTTGTTTAGGGAGCGCCGGAAGTTTTGGCGGTCTCTAAGCCTGCTTGCTGGCTTCGTGAACCTAAGAGTCGCAGGTACTAATGTGATCGTAAGTACCTACGCGTGTTACTGCAAATATCCTTCTTCGTCGTACATGAATATGTTTTCGACTGAAACACAGCCATGGTACTCGAAATATTTGCCGCTGGAGAAATTACAAGTGCGTCGAAGAGTTACATGTGCTCGGTAATTTCACCTCGCTAGCTGGATTTGAGACTCAGGTGTGAAAACCCCGGCGAACGATTGGGAGCTTGGAAATATCAATGCCATTGAGATTGCGCATGGGATTAGACCTACCTGAGCTAAGGGAAGTCGCACCTGCTAAGAAGTAGAGATACAAAGCAGAGAGTAGAGCATAGGGGTACAGAGAGATGGTCTTGTGGTTTAACCGTATAAAGGATAGAGAGCAGTAGATAAGGCCGCAAGTAGGTCTGAGATGGAGCAAACAAGAAGTTGGTTTAATCGGTTCCAGTCTAGAGGTGACAGGCTGAAGAGCAGTGAATCCAAGAAGAATGGCTCGGGATCAGACAGTGGCAAGGACCTTGTGAAGACCGCTGGATCCGACCTGGATGCAGGTGAAGAGTTGCCATCTAGTATCACCAGGCAGAAAGTGGCAGCTGCGAAGCAGTACATTGAAAACCACTACAAATCGCAAATGAAGAATCTGCAAGAACGAAAATTACGGTAACATTGCTGAAATCAATTTCTTCTTTGTTGGCATTCTACCCCATGAAAGTTCGGTTCGTCTTTATTTTTGGGATCTCACGCTGATGAGACGTGGGTGTAAGGAGCACTTTCTGCAAACAGTGAGGAGGCTGGAGGTCCATGGGCTGCTTATTCTATTTCGTAAACACAAGATAACCCGGTGTTGAAATATTTTACATGATGAAATATAAACAACCTTATGAACACTGAGATATCTTAAGGGTTAAAGTTCAGAAGGCTGTTTTCTTGTGAGTCTTACTGGGTCCTTTTAGAATCTTAGTGCTCACGACAGTTGATGGGTGGACTTCCTCAGACGTTGGTCATTGGAGCGCAAGCTGGCAGATGCCGATGTTACAGAAGAAGAACAAAACAATCTTCTCAAGGACCTGGAGAGGAAAGAAACCGAGTATATGCGCTTGCAGCGCCACAAAATGGGAGTAGAAGATTTTGAGCTGTTAACTATTATAGGTCGTGGTGCATTTGGCGAGGTATCCTGTCCCTACACTACTTTTTTATTGACATGCCCCTTGGCGCTGTCAATAGTCCGAGTCCTGAAAGTGTTGCGTCATTGTTTCTTCTGTTCCAGTAAGAGCTTCGTCAGACTCTGTTGAAATCTCGAGCTTTTTTGTCGGAACCTTTGAAGCTATATTGGTTCATAGGTAATGTCTTTCTCAAGTAAATTAACTTATGTCTTATGTATGCTCAGGTGAGATTATGCAGGGAGAAATCAAGTACGACTGTGTATGCTATGAAAAAGCTGAAGAAGTCTGAGATGCTACGAAGAGGCCAGGTAATTCATGTGTATACGTTTAAGTTGTCTGTGTGATCTAATTTTTATTTGAAGTACCGGTTGCTAGAAGCATGGAACATTGAAGAAGCTGTAAAGCTCTAATCTTCACCTATTCCGTTGTTTTCATGCTTGATATGCATACAAGTTCTTAGGGAGTTTACCTTATCCTTCTTGTACTTAACCATGTGCTTTCAACGCAACGTGGTCTTGGCAGGTAGAGCATGTTAAAGCAGAGAGAAATCTACTCGCTGAAGTTGACAGCAACTGTATTGTGAAGTTGTATTGTTCATTTCAAGACGAGGATTACTTGTACTTGATCATGGAATACTTACCAGGAGGAGATATGATGACACTCCTTATGCGTAAGGATACACTTACAGAAGACGAAGCCAGATTTTATGTTGGACAATGTGTTTTGGCTATCGAGTCAATCCACAAGCATAACTACATACATAGGTATTTTGGGATGTCGTAATCCCTGCTTATAGTCATGAGGGGCTTAACTCCATAGGTTGTGAATAGCATGCTAGATTTTATCAACAGTTTTCTTTCCAGAGATAAATATAATTGCGTTGTTAGTGATCTTTTTAACTTGGACATTTTTAGAATCCCCACTACAGAATGCAGTTCAAATGAAGCTTATTACAAAGAAAATCCTGAGAATGTAGAGCTCTCTCGTACACATTGTTGCCTGCTTGTCTGAAAATTTTGCCTTGTTTCTTTTTACTCCTGTTTTCACTCCAATTTCTGCTGGTTTTTGTACCAGAGATATAAAACCTGACAACTTGCTCTTGGATAAGAACGGGCACATGAAGTTATCTGATTTTGGTCTTTGTAAGCCTTTGGACTGCTCAAACTTACCTGCGTTACAAGAGTACGAGCAAAGTCAGGATGTCGCTAGGGATCCCTTAGATCCCAGGCAGCACAGATCTGCATCCCCTGCACCAAGGCGAACACAACAGGAGCAGCTTCGACACTGGCAAAGGAATAGACGCATGCTGGTATGTTTACCTCTTCTTTTTCTGCGCATTCTTCTTTCCTCCAAACTACTCCTTGATCGTATGGTTAATAAATGGTATTCCAGTACCTGCGCGCGAGAATTCACGCGCGTACATTCTTTTTAGATATATGACCTGTGGTTTTTATTTTTCGACCACTAGTCAAACATCAAGTATTAATTCCAGGTTTTGCTCATCAGGCCTATTCAACAGTCGGCACTCCAGACTACATCGCTCCTGAAGTCCTGTTGAAGAAGGGTTATGGGATGGAGTGTGACTGGTATGTGACAAGTCGTTCTCCTGAATCTTTCTCTTTTTATCCTTGGCTCATGATGTACTTGCTTAGCTTGATAAAGTTCTTGTTGTGTTCAAAAAGGTTGAACGTAAGTTTTCCTACAGGTGGTCACTTGGAGCAATCATGTACGAGATGCTAGTTGGCTACCCTCCATTTTACTCTGACGAACCTATGACAACTTGTCGCAAGGTGTGCAACAACCTTTACTCATTTACATGGGTTCATTCATTTTTTCCAAAAGCTCTATAAATGGATGTGGTGCTTTTAGTTTTGCAAATCTCAGGTTTGTAACCTGAGCAGCGTATTACCAAATTTCTGGTATGATCTTAGCTGCAAGTATTAGACTGTAAGCATTGGGTTATGCTTGGTGCTTGAAAGTCTGGGATATGTGGGATGGAGTAGATTGTCAACTGGAGAAATAACTTGAAGTTTCCGGACGAAGCGAAGCTAACACCAGAAGCGAAAGATCTTATCAGTAGATTGCTGTGTGACGTGGAGAACCGTCTTGGCACCAGGGGTGTCCCTGAGATTAAGGTGTGTTGGCTTTGTGAAAAAGCTAACCTTAACACAAATATTAAAATTTTATTTTTTATTTCATGTAAGCTGACTGCTGCAAACCTGCGTTGTGCTCTTAACTCTTGGAAACTGTCTGATTGCGTAAGGTCCGATTAAGAATATAGCATCTTCTTTTCTGAACACTTCTGTAATCCCAAGTCTCACATACCACTGTGATTGTGGTGGCCGCAGAATCATTCGTGGTTCAAAAACCATGGATTGCCTTGGGATAAGCTGTATGATATGGAGGCAGCTTTTAAACCCGAGGTGAAAGATGAGCTGGATACTCAGAATTTTGAGAAGTTCGAAGAGGTTTACCATCATTCCTGTCCAACCTAATCGATTATCTTACACATGGCCTAGGGGTATCTGATACTGGTCTAGATTGTGCGCACCGATGTCTACTCACATCTTAGAAATCTCTGGTTCTTAAACAACCTTGTTGTGGTCCCATGTTGTAGTGAGGGAGTATAACCTTCTCTAGTACTCTATAATGATCTGTTTTTATTAGACTAAGCTCAACGACGCTCATTGAAACTTGATATTTGCAGAGCGACTCTCAGATACCATCATCTACAAGATCAGGACCATGGAGAAAGGTACACATATCTCTCAAATATTCTAAGATTTATCTTACCTAGGCTGCTGCAAGTTGAATAGCTGGTGGCCTTGGTCAGCGCCACAGAGCACATTTTAGGTTAGAATTGCATGTTTGTAAGTCACTGGAGTGTCGAATGGCTTCAAGTCTAGAGGAATAGGGAATATTCAACATCAGGGTTTATGAGCGCAGATGCTGTCATCGAAGGACGTGAACTTCGTGGGGTACACTTACAAGAATTTTGAGATTGTCCAGGATGCCAATGTTCCTGGAATTGGTAGGTTCCTGAACACAGTTCGAAAATCCTGAAGTTTGTTTTCTGCTGGAGCCGTATTGCAGAGTCTTGCATGAATCAGAGGAAATTCATTTTTTTTAGGTCGCCTGCCTACTCTGTTTATTGCAGTGACGTAACGCGTTTTTTTTTCATATATCTTTGTCTAAATTTTTGTGTTTCTTGTTGGGCATTGTTGCTAATTGATATATTTCTTGAACAGCGGAGTTAAAGAAGAAGGGCAAGCCAAAGAGGCCATCCATCAAGACACTCTTCGGTGAGATACTTCTCTTTTACACGCTGGTTTGTGCGATGTCCTTTTTTAGTAATTGGATCGTTCTTTTTATTTTTTCTTGGTTTTGTTTTGTTTTTTTTGTTTGTTGGAATAATGTTATACAATGGGCTCCTGATCTTATCTGGTTGTTGCAGCTTAAACATGTGCACGTGTTCTGTTTTGTAGATCCAAATGGAGGTCCAAATGGCCACATTCAAGGCAGCTTTCTCTGCCACTTACCTACACCTATTGAGATATCAGAGAGTCCAGAGACTTCACCATCTGGCAGCATTTCATCTCCCGCCCATCCGAACTCGAGCTATTACAAACCACCACCTCCGTTGTATCCATATCAAAGTCATGCCCGATAGCTAGTTTTCTACCCCTCTATTCATTTCAAAGCATTGTGCGATTGCCAGGCACCCAGTAACACGCCTGCATGCCTACTTTACTCTGATGTTCACAGTTCTGTATCTCGTTCCAAAGGGCTCACTACAGGACTGACATGAAGATGTATTTAAGACTTAATCGATATGACAAGTGGGTTGAGTGTAAATGGTCTACATTTAGGTACAATCTTTCTTTCAGGTTGATTCATTTGAAGCGATCTCTGTCTCTGAAGTTGGCCAGAGCCAGTAAATAAAGTGCATCAAAATACAATCATAGACGCGACCGTGTGATCATGGCATACTAGACTGCCGTGTGAAGTAAATTTGTGCATAAGTCTTTTGCTCCAAGCTTACACCCAGGTCCTCGCAATGCTCTTGCCACTTGCTTTTGTCTTCCATTGAAATCATCGTTACCATTAGAAATTGCGTGTTGTGATGGATGTTCTCAATCCACGAAGGTTTCTGTACTTGGCTAGTGCGGACTTACATCTACAGATGTTTCGAACATTTTTTTGACTTTAGCGAGTTTTTTTAGCTCATTACGAACCAAAGCACCAGCCAGGTTGCAGGCCTCGGACAGCTGCAAACCTGCAGTTCCAAGAGCTTTCGGAGTAGTTGGTAAGCATTACACTTGATGTGCATGTGGGTCCGTACTCAACAAAACAAAATCTTCTGTGGGACCAACTCTTATGTAGGACAGAAACTACTCACCTCAAACTCCTGTTTTCCCCTCCATGATGCAGCTTCGCAAAGACCCTTTCTACAGACTAATGTATTGTCTCACTCCCGCGTTTCTTACCGCATGAGATTGGACTTCCAGTTCCACAGCCCAATGTTGAGAGTTGAATCTTATGACCTTTGCATGCACTGTGTGTGGTGCTCAAGCTCAGCACACAAATTTTAAGCCAACCCCATAAGAGTTTCCAGACAGCTTTGTGTTGGCATTCCCGCGCTAATCACAAAGCGAAGTGAAGTCAACATTCACCTCCAAAGTGGCCTACAAAGTTTGTATACTTTGGTGGATTGATGAAAGAGTTATTGGGGAGCGAAAATGCGAAGCATGAACAATTGGCAATTTACGTCATAAGGGTGAAACGAAGCATTTGCTTCATGCTGCGGAAAGACTTGGCAATGGATTAGGTAGAGTAGATATATATAATGTTTTTTTATGTATAATAAAGTTATTTATTCAATATTACTTAATATTAACTTTTAGACTTCTTTTTTAATACATTTAGTTAAATAAGTTGACATTTACAATACAGCACAGATGTGGTTCAACTATATTGCTAGTATTTATCTATTCCCAAGAACAAACACATTGTTTTTTGGTTTCTTTAAATGAATATGACACCATCACATACACACCATCTATACTTCCAAGTATGTCAATTTTAGTATGTATATTTTTTTATAGAACATCTATCTGTTTCATGGTTTTAATGTCAATCGGACAAATCATCTCCGCTCTCCGTCAGACTGCCTAGACTAGAGTTGTTCGTCTTTCGAGGGAATTCCAACCCAGTTAATGGCTTCATTTGTGACTACCACACCACACAGATAAATAGATAGAAGCATTCATAGGTAGACAGATACACACACACACACCCATGGACATGGACAGATAGATAGACACATACACAGATAGCCAGAAAATTAGACACATACACAAATGGACAGATAGATATACAGACAGATAGATACCTACCTGCACGGATTCATAATCGAGAAGGATGGAGATCCGGGAAGCTCTCAACAAACTTGGTTGCACGGGAGCTACCTGATGCCCTTTGTTGACTTGGTGACCAGTGCACGATTCTACATTTCCCATTTCTTTTTAACTTCTGTTGCTCCTTTTTCTCTGGCTTTATTACAGGAGTCAGTGAGATCATACCCATCGCCTGCCTGCACAGTCTGCGAGGAGAGGATGTGGAGCTACGGCCCCCAGGTTTACCGAACACAGTCGTCAGGTCCACCTGGTATTGCTGACTGCACAGGCTTCGATGGAATTATGCTCCCGTCATTCCACAACTAATCTTATCTCATCGTTGCTTAAACTACACCCGAAATGTAGATTTAAAATTGGGGTTATCTTCTTTCCCTCAGCAGTAGGGATCTATTGAGCAGTGCCAACAGCCTCTTTCCCATGAAGTAGTTCAGTTATATTTTCTTGGGATTATCAGTGCAGCTATGGCGTCTGCAGCTGTTAAACTAATCCATAAACAGTGCAGCTAAAAGTATCTTACAGTTTTTTCGCTGACTCTGCTACAACTTTCTGTGTAACCAGTTCCCGAGGGGGAGAGACAAGGACGACAAGACAGGCAAGCATGTTGAAAGCAAGGACATCGGAAAGCGGAGGCCAAACATGGAGGTCTGTATCGGTCATTGATCAGAGGAACAAGGTGTGTACACAAGAGGAAAGACCATGGTGTAGAACTCGATGGTCATCCGTTACAAGGACCTAAATAATGACCTCCCCTCCGCACCTAAGAAATATATGATTACTCCTGAGTTCCTAAAAGCTGGCAATTCAGGAACTCCAACCTGATGTACAGCCCGTCATTGAAGCGAGTACGATTTAACTTCGCACACAAACCAAAAGATTTCTCACTCTATCGCCCAAGGAGCCTGCCTCTAAAATTTTGTATGGGAGGGGTTGAGGAGGTTCGTCACCCAGCCACATAAAAGGGTAGGCTCCGCCTGGATCGGTCGCTTCACTTAAAAGATGGAAGAAACCAGAGGGAAATGTAAGCGTGTGTTGTCCAATTCTAAATATAAAAAAATATGATAAAGTACTACATGCACATATTGCAAAGAATTCTGAGAACCTAATAGAGTCAATGGCACGCCATTGTACAGGGTGTCATCTCATCTGGCCAAAACCAGTGGATTGTTCCAGGAAGCGAAGGCAGCACGTGGGGACTTGTTGGCATAGTCAAGATGATCAATTGATACACCCAATGTTGTCAATGTGTCCCTGAGCTGCTGGACTCTGGATGGACAACTTATGACTGCATCCACACCTGCTTCTGCATCCCTCTGCTTCAAGCATTCCATACTTGACATGTCCCATCTGCACATGAAAATTTCAAATATCATCCACTAATAAATGACAGCTTTCCTGAAACAAGGAATAACGTGATCAAATCTACCATTTTCTAGAGTAAAATTCTTCAACAGTACTGCATGCACCCTGATCTTTAACATGAAGAGCATGAGAAGAATTATACCTGTCTACATCAGTAACAGCCACGATGAGAACAGGTGTAGTCAAGCAACTGTTCCCCGGTTCAGACTGTTCCTTGCGACGAATCTCACGAACTAGGCTATAATTCTCAGATCTTGCAAGAGAGAGACTGACGAAGATTACAGAGAAGCCTTCAGGATCTTGCATACTCTGCTCAAACCGCCACTTCGCTTCAGTTCCACTGCACGCGCAGGAGACTTCGAAGCCACAACGTTCCAGCATAAGAGTAAGAGATTTGCGACCACGCTGTCGTGGATCCACAACCATCACCCGGGCACGGGTCAAGCTGCTTGGTTCTAAAACGCTGCCGACGTTCACTACCATGGACTGGGAACCTTGATCACTCTTGCACCAATCTTGGGAGCACACAGACGTGCCCTCCCCTTCCAACTGCATACGCACTTGGTCAGCAAATATGTTCCTCTGGGCAGCAAACATCTCCATAGAGCAAACACCCTTGTCCGAGTATGGAGAAGGAGGCTGCTCCAATGCTGCCAGGAACTGGTCCTCGCTGTCTCGCGGGCTGCCACCGTCGTTACTAAGCTCATCATCTGCGGCAGTAAGCGAGTAAATATCAGCGACTCGTCGTGCTGTAGCGAATTTATGCAAAGTTATATGCAGAAAACATGCGAAGGGCCACTCTGAGCACGACAACCACAATGTACAGAAAGGCACCTGTCCTTTACCTTCGAGATCGAGGTGGCTGACTTCGTCTACGGCCTTGACGTTGCAATTCACCTCAAAGCCAGATTCTTTGGTCTCAGGTGCGCCAATAGGCATAATAACACAGATCGTTCCAGAAACCGCACGCTTGCCAACACCTGGAGGGCTCGCAGATACGAGTACTTTGATGTCGTGTCCCCATTTCGTCTTAAGATCCCAAACTTCCTGAGAATTTCTTTGGTCATCAAGTGCACCTTTAAGAATACACTCCCCCAAGTTTCTTCGTCTGGAAGAGGGGACACCAAATAACACGTCGAGAAACCTTGGCATGGCAAAAATTTCCGACTCTGTCCACCCGGTCAGATCTGCCGCACGTCTGCAAATAGGGTACGAAGGCTGATTTCAATACACAGAATTCCTCCACCAGAAGCACAATTACTGTACCCGAGCAACAAGAAACACCAAGGGAAAGAACTTAAGAACCACCTTGCGCCGCGAGAGACTACGATCCCATAGTTTTAAAGACAACAGTAAGAGCCCAAGGTTGCGATCTAAACTATCTGCGTTGTTCAACACTAAGAACGAGGAACACTAAGTAACTGATAAGTGCAGTATTTATTCCTTGTAGCAGAGAGATGCTGAAGCACCACGAAAGATAGAAGCTATCGAGAGAGCAAGGCCAAGTTTACCCAGATTCAACGAAAGTGGTAGGCCTAGGAGTCACTTCGGACCACCCGTAGCATGACAATGCTTACTTCATCTACAGGAAAACTACGCATCCTCGGATAACTAACCCAGTGGCTTCCAGAGGCAGAAGTCTCACGACGAAGTAGCCATCATCTCTGTGTGAGCGATATCGCTGTAGACCAAAGCAAACAGAAGCGCGTAAGAACACAATAAATGAAGCACTCACTTGTTCCAGAGAAGGCAGCGCATGTCGAAGTCAACATTAAACATGGGCACGGGTATCTCGTCGCCATGGAGGAGAGAATGACAACCCACAATTTTTTCAGACACAGGAACCGTGTGCTGACCCGCGAGCTCCATTACAAATTCCACTGCAGCCCGCTGGTGGTCTCCATCATCTGCAACCCTGGGACTTCGGTTCTCCATGGCAGGGAAAGGTCCTCCCCAGGTAGTGCGCAGTGCACCCACCCGCTTGTACCCTGTTTCGAGAAACATCGCTGGATCTCTTACCAGAATCCAAAAATATTCGCGCCACACAATCGCGGGTTCAAAGATAATCTCCTCTTCAGATTTACCTCACTCTCGATCTATCACCTCACTTTCCTCACCCCTCACACGCAACCCGAGTCTCACACCTCTTCTTTCCTGGCAGCAAGAATCCACGAACTCTCCCTTCGTATAGGCGTTGCGCACGCTGCATTGGTAAATTATGAACCATTCGTCGATCACTGCATTGGTAGATTGAATATTTTGTGCATTCGTGCATTGGCTCGCCAACTCTTCTCAAAGCCCGGAACCCTCTCTTCCTCGATCTCCAACTCGAAAACAAGAGGGGAGGGGGATTTGATATATATGAACCCGAAACTCAGCCTTTGATAGAGAACTGAAATCTGATCACCCAGACGTCGTGCAATTCCTCTAAGAACGTCAACACGGCACACAAGTCGGATTGTACCACGCGAACCAAGCTCGCCCACTTTCGTCAACTAACGTGAAACGCTCACTGAATTGGCAAATTCGATCACATTCAAGTACTCGCAAACCCAATGCCTCACAAACCCTTCCACCCACTTCGTCCTCGATTACCACAACACTCTCCTCCCAATCCCTCCCCTAACAAACCACCCATAACACACAAACCGCCAAGCAGCACAACCTCCTATCCTCACACACACGCTCCCCCCACGTTCAAACTATCGCAAAAAAACGATGGAACGGGGAGTGCCCTAGCCCGCACTCGTCAGCTAGATCTATGCTTCGCACTCCACAGAGCTTCTCAACTGAGCCGATCCAGGGCTCTCTAAGATGTGCTATGGAAACGATATCAACGATGAAAGCTATGAAACCGGGCGAATTTGCCGCAAAGCTGGGGGGGACGGGGGGATGCAAGCAAAGTATGCAAAGTAAGCAAACAAACGATGAAAGGGGGGCTACAAGACAGACAGAGACAAGTGAGTAAAGATAGATGTGTAGATCAAGTGAGACACAGGTTTCCGTGTGTGCTCGTCCTTATAGGCCCCCCTTCCTTCTCGTCCAACGCCACAAGTGTCGCCCAACGGGCCCCCAAAAATTTCCGCCCCTGCTGCCCGGCTGCCCAGGCGTGTGGCCCGGCGCTTCACGACAAGCCATTTGCCGTATTATTATTCAGTTTGCGGCTCTTATTTTAACCCCGCCCGGGTCCCACCTCGCCCCCTCGCCCGCGCAGCCATTCCAGCCCCCAACCGACGAACAGAGACGCTCGGATGTCGTCGACGACCACGACGACAACGACGAATGTTGTTTATTCCGCTTCTCTTCTTTCTTTCTTTTTGCTTTTTGGCCTGAATTTTATTTTTCCTTTGCCTTTTGTCTTTAACCTCGTGGGAACAACCTCCTCGCCAAGTAACCTACAAAAATCAACGAAAAAAGGAAATGTGGAGTGGTAATAGAAAAAAAGAGAAGGGACTTGATTTTCTAGGAAATCTTTTTGTTTCTTTTTTTGTCTTTTTGTGATGTGGGGTGGTTGGAGATGGTGGTTTAGGGAGGGGTGGGAATTTAATGGCTTGTTATTGGGTCATTGGATTCTCTTCCAAAAATAATCGTGTTGGTCTCTTTACTAATGAAACAATTTGTATTGTCCCACATTCTTGCGCTCATCTCCTTTTTACATTTCCCAGTATGTTTCATAATTCACCATGTGTTGTATTCTTTGTTGTTTTCTTTGTCCTCATATGCTGGAACAGTCTTTTTGTTGTTGGCCTTGCAAGATAGTTTATGAGCAATTCTAAAGAAAAAACACAAAAGAAGGTGCTGGAGTGTGCCACAAACTAGTGTGGGACAAAAATATACTTGGCTATGTGTGAAAAGATCAACTATAAATAAATAAATGCATAAAACTGGTTGTTTGTTTGTGTGAAAATTTGTTCTCTCAATTGCAATATAAAATAATTGGTGGTAGGATTTGAACGAGCTATTGAGCTTGCCAAATACTAGACCATGCATGAATGATTGGTCATGATTGGTATAAACAAAATTTTGTTTTTTAAAACTCAATAAAAATTTCCGTCAAATGAGTTTGTTTTATCTTTCTAATAATAAAAAGTAGCTAACAAGATTCAGTGGAACTTCTTCTTTTCTTTTCTTTCCCTTTTCTTTTACTCTCTCTCTCTCTCTCTCTCTCTCTCTCTCTTTATATATATATATATGATGCGTACCTCCAACAACATCACCAAGCATCAACCATATTTTTTCTAATTTCATGATACTAAATGTATTACATCTTATTACTTATCCAAGAAAAAATATATTCCTTTTAGAGATCTTCATTTCGAATTTGATTATACATGTTGAAGGTTGTAAAGATCTACATCATTTTTTAATTACTTATTAAACAAAAAGTTTTCAAAATAATATATATTGATTTCTATTTGATATCTTGTTGAAACAAAATCTGTAACAAGGTTTTTATTAAACATAAAAATAAAAATAAATTTTTTTCTTTTGTACTAGCTTGCTATTAAATCTCATTGATGAAATACCCAATTTGATTCTTTATAAATTTGTACGATTTTTGAAAGGTTAGTATGTATGTTAATTAATATCATATGTGTAGCGACATACAAGATATTATAATTTGTTACAACACCACCTTAAATCTAAGATTTCTTTCACCTTAAAATCTCAATCAGTATTTATTTTAACAAGAAGATGTAGTGGTTTCTGCTTTTTTGGTATTTTAAATTATTTATAATATTTTGAAGATAGAAAAAATTAAGAATTATAAATCTTAATCTTCATTGATTTGGATAATCACGAATAAAAATAATCAGTGCAACAAAGTTCCACTCCAAAGATGGCTTCAATTTTTTATAGTCTAATTTGTTGTATAAATTGGTTGTTTTTTCACAAAAGGTAAAATTAACTATATTTTCATAAAGAATGTATATATATATATATATATATATATATATATATGATTAAATAAAAGGAAAACGTTAATTTTTTTTATTAGATAGATTTGTAATCCACATTAAGGTTATGAAAATTGCCTTGAAAAAATCTTTGATTACAAGATTGTGAACTTGCAAAATGTACAAAATAAATTTATTTAAAAAAAAAAAAAAAACAAATAAAAAACAAATAAAATAAAAATGTTGTTTTTAAATTTCCTTCTTTTTTTCTTTTTTTCTTTTTTTGTATATACAATACTATACAAATTAATATAATTAGCTTCTACATTTGATGCTATATCTTTTTCATGAAACAAGTTCTAAAGGTTTTGTTGAATGTAACATATCATATTTTTAGGAAGTCATATTGAGCTTAAAATGCATGTAGTAAGACTTTACTTTAAAAAATTAAACATCTTTTTAAGAAAAAATTATTTTTCTTTAAATGAAAATATATTTAGTTTATAATAAGAATTACACCAAAAAAAAATTAAAAATATTAAGAATATTTTAAAAATATTCTATTGAATCTTATTACAGTATAGCTTTAAATTTATAAATAAATAAATAAGTATGTATATATATATATTTATTTATTTATTTAATACAAATTTACAATAATTATTTTAAAAAATAAATAGAATACAATATAAATAATTATAATTATAATCTAAAAATATTATTAAAGTCTACATAATTAGAAGTCTACATGAAAGTTTTTAAAGAACCACAAAATAATAAATGATAAGTTTTCAGAGTAGAGGATGTTTCTAAAGTAATTTTCTAATTTTATAATAAATGACTATAGATTCGTGGTATGTCTTAAGACATTTGTATATCTGACATCTTTTTAAAATCTTCTACAAAATTTTATAAAATAGATGTTAGCAAACTAACATATTTTTATTTAATTCTACTTATTTAAGTGGTTTAAATTTTAATAAAAACTAAATAATATAATCCAAATATAGTTATATTCTTTAAAATAGATGTCTTAAAGACCTGAAATATAATAAAAGCAAGTAAAATTAAACCATCTTCATTTTTTGTGAGTAAAATCACTTTTTAATAATTTCATTGCACCTTTTAGAAAAAAAATATTTTACTAATGATTAAGACTATTTACACACATTAAAAAAACTATTAATAAAGAAATATATAGCATAATTAAGATTAAGATTTTAAAACTTGTATATAAATATAAAAAATAAGAAATTAAACTTTTTATAAACAAGCAAAAAAAATAACATTAATTTTTTAAAATTCTAATATCATATATAAAGTTTTTTGTTCTAATATGTAAATCTTTACTTATTTTATTATAATATTAATAATAATAATAAATAAATAAACAAATCAAAGATGTCAAGTAATTTAAAGCATCTTTAATATGTGTTGTAAATAAAGATGAAATTTGGAAACTAAATTTTGTTTATGAAAGGCATTATTTTTTATATTTATATATAAATTTTTTTCATTCTAACTAATTAATTTATTTATTTTTTACTAATTAATTTAAATTAAAATATTTTTAAATTGAAAATAAAAAAAATTTCATAAAAATATATTGATAATATTGATATTATTCAATTTCTCAATTTTAAATAATTAAAAAAATTACTATAAATTTACAAATACATCCAATAGTATTTTTTTAATTATTTTGCAATGAGTTTTAGATACATATAACTTAAAATATGTTTTTTGTGAGTTCTAATTAAACCAAAATAATTAATTTACTGCCAGAATATTATGAAGTCCTCCAAATGTAGAAAAATATATTAAATAAGAAGAAGATGTGTCTTGATTCTTTTGTATGGAGATGTAACACATGATAGAATTTTATTTTCTTTATTTGTCAGTATACTCTTCAACCAAGCTTTTTGATGTACATTATTAAAACACATTTTTTTGATGAAATCTTGCTTAAATTTGTTTTTGTTTGTTTTGTAGAGGAAATGAGAGAGCAAAGAAAAAATATAAAATTTAGTAGAATACAAGAAATCTAAGTCCACTTCAAAAGATAAATTTAATACTACATTTATTAACTATATCATGCATCCAGTTTTGATATTGATATTTTATTAAGGAAGTTATACTTATGTTGTGGACATTGCAAATAGAAGTTAATACTTCTTAATTTTAGTTTCTATTTAACAATGTTTTTAGTTAGTGGCAAAAACATAATGGAAGCTTGTTGGTTGGCTACTAAATTTCAAGATCATACCAAACTTGTTTATTTGGTACAAGTTATGACCAAATGTATTAGAACATACAAAGTTTTATATTTGTATGTTGTACCAAAGTTGTATTTATATACTTTGCAAAATTTAAAGTAAACAAGAATCTCTTACAAAATGGCCAAAACTCGGCAATCCAAAACCTAAAAACATATGTTATTTTGCTGCTATGAAGAAGCCCCACATGGTACAATCCTATTATCATGCTTTTGTACTTGGCATCAATTTATGCCAAAGCCATTTGAGAGGGCATTCATTCAATTCTCAATCCACATCCAATGACTCACATAGAATAGACTCCCCCCCCTGTGTTCAGGTTTGTGGAGCTTTTACATGAATTGGTATTAATAATTTCAAGTGTTTGTTATAACAAGTGTGCAAGGGATGGGAAAAGAAAGGTACCCTAAGCAAGCAAGCAAAGCAAGCTCAAAGAATGTGTGCCCCACCACCACCCCCATTTCCCATTAATAATCTGCTACTGAGGTACAACCCAATATCAATATCTCTCTATCAAGTACATTCCCACATTGCCATCACTTTGGCCTTCACAATTGCCATGAGAATTACCACCTGGGAAATTTTGATGTGTTTGGTAGATTTCACATTTATTGGCACATGCAATGTTTGGAGAAAAAACACACACACACAAATAAAATAAATAGACAAATGAATGAATAAATAATCACACACACACACATGCACACACAAAAATCACAAGCAATGTCATGGCAAGAGACCTTCCATATATATATACATATATATATATATATATATATATATTCATAATCAACACTATTTTGTTTTCTCTCTTTCTTTTTCTTCCTTATGGGCAG